TTAAATTAGGGTTTGGTGCTGTTAAGAGTAAATATCACAAGGACTAACTAATATTTATGCAGCAGGGGCATAATCATGGCTGCCATCATCATCATCATCGCCTTCAAGAGAAGCAGCAGGGGCATAGTCATAGTCTCCGTCATCATCGTCGCCATTTCCCTCTATGCATGCCGCTGGCGCATAGTCAAATCCATCGTTGTCGTCACCGTCTCCATCAACATGCTTCTTGCACCATGGAGCAACAACCTTGGATAATGGTGTCATTTTTCTTGATACTGGTACTGCAATAAGGTCAGCTGGTCTAGTGGTGGCTTGAATTACTCAGTCTGTGACTTGTGTTGGTTTTCAAAGGATGGGATATGTAAGTGCTTATATAGATGGTGGTCTTGGCAGAGGTGGTGGACAGAGTCTTTCTGCCACAAGGAAAGCACGCGAAGAGTGTGGTGGAAAGACCAAAGGTTGTGTACTTGTGTTGCCTTGTGCAATACCAAATGCCTATGCTGACAAGTCAGCAGATTCTCCTCTGCATCTTATCATTGCCCTTTGGGCGTTTAGTAAAGTCATCTTTAGGGCAGGGATGTGGGGTAGACTGAAAAAATCTACGGATGATTTCGCAGGATAAGAAAACGTGAGGTTCAGATCTTCTTACATGTGGTTTGGGACTAGCTAAAGCTAAATTGCGGTGGCATCTATCATTATATACATACGCACAAGTCTATAACTTTGAGATATGGAAAACTGGGCGTTGAATACATATATGCATCTTACGTTTAACAATATTTATGAGAATGGAGTTAAGATTGGGATTGATAAACAAAGCTTTTTAAAACAAGATGACAGTAATGCTGCTTGATGCTTTTGCCATTAATTAGGGGAATCTTATAAAGATAAACCATCTTTATAAAATTAGTTAATCATAAAATTAGCAACACGCCAGGCATCAACTCGTTGTCTGTTAATTAAATTTCGTCGACCTTAAAATATATTATGCATTAATCATCGATTACTTTTATAACTAGTTATTTTTTTCTTCAAAGAAAATATTAAATCATTTCAAACATGAGCTTGATTGTATTTTATACTAATTAATTTTAATTATAATCAATTTAGTTTTGTATATATATTAGTTGATTGTACCTTGAACATGTACTTTTAGAAATATTAAATTTTATCACATGTTCGTATCGTTCTTGAATAAACTTTATATTGCATAAACATATACTATAAGAAAATACATTTTCAGTGAAAATAAAAATGTCGCTGAAAGTATTAAATCTAGTCATTGAAGATTATAGTGATAAATTTTTTGAATTGTCAGTAATAACTCCATCATTATTATATTAGTAACGACTTCCAATAATTTCGTCGAGTTACTTGTATTTTTTGTTACTATAGTTTTTGACACAAAAATTAAAAATAGTAATGAAAATTTAGACACTAGTATTATATTTATTAGTGATAAATATTTTATAACAACTACATAATTAAATTAATTAATTAAAAAATTCATTATGAAATCAATTATAGTTGTATATTTACATTTTTAATTATAACCATCCTTCTTTTTAGGACATTGCATTTCAATTATTGTTATTAGTTAGTTATCATTAACAATAGTTGATGTGGCACATTAACATGTTATTTTTTGATAAATTAAGGCAATGCATGATTTCTAAGATGTGATCTAACTTGGATTCTTCAGGGAAGAGTGCAACGTTTAACCACTGTGCTAAGCAAGGAATATTTATTTTTGACAGAAAAATAGTATTTAGATTAAATTATTGTTGGAATTAATTTTATTTATTTTATGAAATATTAATTATAATATTAATTATTATTTGAATAATTTATTTTTTTTATAAATTTCTTATATGGAACACGTTCCTAGTAAAAAAATATAAAAAATAATTGGTTGATTTTAAAATATAAACATGTAAAATATTAAGATTTAAACCTAAAATAATATCAAGTTTTAATCAAATAAAAAATATTTGACAATATATTAATCCCTTGAGAAAATTCACATACGTCTCAATAAATTGCATATAAAAACTAATCAAATTTTTTTTGAAGAAAAACTAATCATAATTGAAGATTAATGGTACTTTCAAAGTTTATAGTATCATAGATAATTAATTTAGTTAATAAAAATAAAATTCATAGTAATATAAAATTATATATTTAAAAGGTTAAGGCAATTTTATTAGTCATATAATCGTTGTACTGTTTAGATTGTTATTGAAATTTAAAATTTTAAAATTTAAAATTTATACGAACTAGAATTGACCAAATTAGAGCATAATGACTAAAACCATAATTTGCACTTGCACATAGTACATAGACTAATAAAAAAAACTTTAATTATTATTAATGTCAATATTTATCACAACAAAAAGTAAAATTTTAAGTGAAAAGTAACTTTATCGTCACAACAAATATCAAATAATAGTTATCAGTTTATATGTCGTCATTATCATATCATTTCTTATCAAGAAAATAATTAGCACCAATTTATGTATTCCAATAGTATCACAATTTTTATGTAAGTGAAATTTGTGTCACAATTTTTTACTTATAGTGATAATTTAATTGCGATAAAACTTTAATCATCACAATTATTACTATAATAGTGATGAAATAAAAATGTATCACAATTACTTTCATTAATAGTTTCCTAAAAAAAATTATAAAAAAAATTAAAAAACTTACTATTTGTGATAAAATTATTCATAGCCACTATTAATTTGTCACTAAAAGCCTTTATTCTTGTAGTGATATACAATAGTTCATATTGATATTTAAAAATTATTATTAAATAAAAATCTTCTTATTAATTAAATAATATTTTTATGGAATTAAAATATGAAATAATGTTATATATTAAGTCTAATTTTTCAGGGAAAACATTAATTGAAATCAAACCTAAATTGGAAAAAATATTAACTTTTTATCATCATTGAACTGTTTTACTTATTTACGACATCGCCATGTTAACAAATTTATGCATTAATTAGGTAGTAATTGTTTGAGCTTCCTGTAAACATACACATCTTCTATACACAGTTACTTAAATTCGGAATTTTTATAGAAAAATCAATTTAGTTTAATAATTATACCTTATCTCTATCATCGTATCATTAAAAATGATATGAAGATTGATCGATTGAGATTGAATTGAATCATTATTGTTATGATATTTAAGAGATTGTGAATTTAGTGCATTTAGTTTAAGCATGGTCACCCCTAATTTAGGGATTTAGAGAACTTAAATAATTTAGACATTTTAATTTATACTTTAAACTAAATTACATCATGCGTGCCACATATATAAGCAATCTAGTCAATTACATTAGGTATGATTAGACCAAATTAAAGTGATCTCAAGTATATAATAACCCAAAAAGAAAGGTTAAAAACAGAAACAACAACCTCAATAGGGTTTTAGAGCATTGTAATACTATAGGCAAGGTTTTGAGAATATGCTACTATAATCCCTTAAAATTAAGCTGCCGGAGCATAATCATAACCACCATCGTCGTCGTCGTCGTCTCCATCACCATCTTCGAGTGTAGACAGAGCACGGTAATAGCCGCCATCATGTTTTGCCGATGAGTTTGGGTTTAAAATAACATGTCCACCATCAACATTCACGATCATGTTCATGTTTGAGGTGCTTCCAAACCTTTTAATAATACTATCACCAGCATCATGCATGATGACACATGACTTCAAGCTACTCATGATAATTATGTGAGAAAGAAGTTTTAGTTTTTGATTTTGACTTTGAAAGAGCAGTGTGTAAGACCTAGGAAAATCAAAGGAATTTGAGGACTTAGGGTTGAAACTGATGGGATAGAGGCAGAAGATTATATAGAGAGAAACACGAGGCGATTCCGTGGAGGGTTCGTGGCATAAGAAATTAGGAGCGTGGGAAGCTGTGACATAAAGTGCCACGTCATATCCTATATGGCTCCATTGAAAAATAAAAAGAAGCATGGTTTTGCATTAATACGAAGAATATGTAAAGAATAAATGCAACAAAATGGTTGATTCTGTCTGATCTTTTTCTCCTTCTGTTGTTGCCATTCATTTTCAGTTTTTTTTTTTTTTGTGAAAGGTTCTTGTGGGATCTCTATTCGTAGTGATTGTGGTTGAACGACGTTTAACCCCAAACTTATTTTAGTTTATTTTTCTTAATATTTCGGCTTAATTTATAAAGACTAAAGAATCTCAATTATTTATATGTATTTAAATATGTTTTGATATTTACATCAGAAATGCTTCATATGCTTGTTAAAAACCCTTCTCAATGTTTACCAATTTTTTTCCTTTGAAAATCTAGGGTACAAAATATGATTTTCTTTTTTTTATATATATATAAAACATTTAAATTATTAAAAATAGTTGGACTCTAACTGGTTAGTTAGACTTCAATTAGTTAACTATAAAGATCTAAGTTCAAGTTGTATTCTGAATTAATTTTTTTAATATTCAATAATAATTTAGTATTGTTTCTTCTTGATATAATAAATTTCTTGTTAGTTACTCTCTTATTGAACTCTTGCTTAAATTCTCAAGTTTACGACATCTTTCTAATAGATAGATTATGCTTTAAAAATGATATTTATAAAATAACTTAATTAATTAACACAGATATATAAGAATATCCTGAAATATATAATATATTTTAAAAAAATAAAAAATTATGACAATATAAAATAGTTTAATCAATATGATAAAATATATGAATATAATGAGTTATATCTAAAGAGGATCGATCAGCAGAGTGGACGAGTGCATTGGGCTAATGGCTCAGCCACGGCCGCAACCCTACTTCACGGCCACTTCATGTTTTACGAGCTCGAAATTTAAATGAAGAAAGTGTAGGGTAGATAAGTTTTTGGGTCGAGCTGAGGTTTGCATCTTAAACCCATTATAGGACCAAGTTAGCCCAAGCATGATATTATCCTGAGACCTGAACCAATGGCAACCGATCGTTTTCCTGGCTGACATTAGCCGTTTGCCTCGGCTTCAAACCAAAGCCTCAAGGTTGCTCCACGTGAACTAAAGCAGCAACTCTCGGTTATTGAACCAATGGCTACCGCTCACCTTTCAACTCAAATTCTCCGGCCAATCCTTCCTGGTCCTGGCTGTGGCTGTTTCCGACGTGTTTCCACCGCCGGACTCCCTTCTACTTCTCCTTCGCCTCCTACAATAATCTTCAAGACAAGGCAAGAACACAATACAAGGAATCAAAAGTTAAAGTGGGCACGTAAATTAAGCCTGGTGGAGCAAAGCAGCCCGCCGAAACCAACTGTTGATGTTGAAGGGTTAGTTAGTTTCTTGTATGATGATCTTCCCCATCTGTTTGATGATCAAGGAATTGATCGAACGGCATATGATGAACAAGTCAAGTTCAGGGACCCCATAACAAAGCACGATACCATTAGTGGTTATTTGTTTAACATTTCTTTGTTGAAGATTCTCTTTAGGCCTCTGTTTCAATTGCATTGGGTCAAGCAGGTTCGATTTATTATAGCGTTGGTTTTAATAGTTTCAGACTCTTTTCAGCTTGGGTCTTTGCTGCTTATTTGACGGGTTGAGTTTCTATAGACAGGACCTTATGAGATAACAACAAGGTGGACTATGGTGATGAAGTTCATGCTTTTGCCTTGGAAGCCTGAGCTGGTCTTTACTGGAACTTCTGTTATGGGAATTAACCCAAACAATGGAAAGTTCTGTAGCCATGTGGTGAAGTTTTTATTTTCTCCCAAAAAACAAATTTTCATCGGGTAATTTTGATGTCCAGTCTTTGTGAAATTTGCTATATGAATGTACTGTAGGACTTCTGGGATTCTATACAGAACAATGAGTATTTTTCACTAGAAGGTTTATGGGATGTATTTAGGCAGGTATGGTTATTTGATTCTGCAAAATTGCATTTTTATAGTCATAAATTTTTTGTTTTTCCCGCATCTTATATGTTCTAGAATGTTATCTCTCAGTTGCGGATTTATAAGACTCCTGACTTGGAGACACCAAGAAATCAGATACTGAAGAGGACTGCAAATTATGAGGTCGTGTTATGGTCTCCCCTTTCTTAAAAGAAAATTTGGAATAAAATCAGTTCTACATCTATGAACTATATAGTCTGCAGGGTAAATAAACTCACCCCCTTTCGGTTTTATAACCACACAGGCATAAATAAGCTTGTGATTCAGAAAATATGAATGAAAAGCGGGGGGGGGGGGGGTACTTGTTCGGTAAACTGATTCAGTATTGAGTAGGAACCTTGGAGAAATTTTGCATCCACGATGTAGTATTCACAGTGTGTAACAGTTAGGTGTTATGCAGGTAAGGAAATATGCACCATTCATAGTGGTAGAAACAAATGGAGACAAGTTGTCAGGGTCAACTGGTTTTAATGCTGTTGCTGGGTAAGTGTTTTCAGTTCTTCTGGAAAATCCTATTCATTATGTTGGTTTCAATTTTAAGATATAGTTATTCCTTTATGCCTGATATGGTTGATCGATTCCATTGGCGTAGATATATCTTTGGTAAGAATTCTACAACAGAGAAGATACCAATGACTACTCCTGTGTTCACCCAGGCACTTGATCCTGAATTGTCTGATGTATCCATCCAAATTGTTCTTCCAGCGGAGAAAGATATCAGCAGGTGAGGCTTCTTGGTTTTATAGGGGTCCAAAACATCAGGAGAGAGTTTTGTATTTCCAAATTGGATAATGACAACAATAACTTTTGTTTTCTACTTTGATGCTTTGTTTAAGCACCTAAGCTGTGTAATTGTACTTCAATAGTCTGCCAGATCCTAGTCAAGAAAAAGTTTACTTGAGAAAGGTGGAAGGGGGGATTGCCGCAGCATTGAAGTTCAGCGGAAAACCGACAGAGGATGTTGTTCGTGAGAAAGAGAAAGCACTGCGCTCTAGTCTTATTAAAGATGGTCTCAAATCAAAGATGGGTTGTTTGCTTGCACGGTACAATGATCCGGGACGTACATGGAGCTTTATGATGGTATGATTTTGACTTTCCTTGACAATTATGCTTCATAAGTAATCTAAGAAAATGTCATTTCTCTTGAACGTGCTCTTAAACTTTGATCATGACAAAAATTCATTAATCAAGTTCCCATATAACTGCTAAATTTAGCCATGAATCTTCTGTTCTTGAACTAGCACTATGGTATGCAACTATGCATACTTCGAAATTTGCTTCTTTGATGCATACTAGGTTGGTGATGGCCCCTAGATAATTGCTACTTTTCTTTGCTTGCTGACTTGTTGGGAGTTCATGTGACATGTTACCTAAAACAATATAGGATGTCCTTTAACATATTGCTTTTATTACTTTATATACTCACCTTAGTTACTGACTCCATATTGCTTTTATTACTTTATATACTCACCTTAGTTACTGACTCCATCTCTACATTGTTCTATGGGTGATTGCATTGAAGAGAAATGAAGTTCTAATTTGGCTTGAAGAATTCTCTTTGGATTATCAAGAAAACTAGCCGCGGATCGTTATTTTCCGGATCTCAAATCGACCGTGACAGCTTGAAGTGGTCGTTAAAGAAACAGAATAGGTTGTCTCTTAAAGAACGTCTCTTTTACCTAAGCAACTCGCAGTGTAAAGTATTTTATTCTTGCAAAAGGTCATAGATATGTAGCAAATTAAACTATCCAGGAATGAAACTTGTAGAAGCTGATCAATACCAGCGGCCAGTTAAAAGACTGGACTGATCTGTATAGCAACAAAGCCTTTGCTTTATTGTAAAACATGAGATATTGTAATGCTTACAGTATGCAAACTTCTAAGCTGAAGCTGTATTTCTACTGTCATTCAGCCATGGTTGCATGGATTAAAAACCTCGTCTTAAAGGAATAATTAAATTAGAGAAGATGGCCCCCATCTAAGTTGAATTTTAATTTTTTTTGTCTCCAACTTTTTTCCAATAAAATCAAATATTTTTTTACCAATTCAAATATGTTATTACCACTACTTTTCCCAATAAATCTTCTGTCTTTGATACCACCATCATTAAGGAACATACCTGATTTTGAGAAATCATTTAAGCTAAAGTATGCGAAGCTTGGATACCATTGCCTAATCACCCCTGGATTGAGCCGGTGGGTGTAAAGAATTTTTCCCTTTTAAGAGCCCAAGCCCATAGTCTGTTGCATATTAAATCCTTCACCTTTTCAGTTGGAGATTGGAGAGAGCTAAGCTCTGAAGTCTGATGCTCCTTCAAAGTCGGCTTCCGTTATTTCACTTCATTTCCCGCTATTACATTTTATCAAAGCCGCGCCTTCTCTCCTTTCACACTCCACTAACCAAGCAATCATGCATCTCTCTTCTCAAAAGCTGCAAGTCCATGAACCACCTCAAGCAAATTCAAACCCAAACCTTCCTACTCGGTCTGCACCAAGACAGCAACACTCTCAACAAGCTCATTGCTTTTTGTACGGACCCATCTCTCGGGGACTTCCAATACGCTATAAAAATATTCAATCTCATTCAATACCCATCTTTGTTTATTTACAATGTTATAATCAAGATGCTTGTGAAAAATGGTAGTCCTAAAAATGCAATCTTGGTCTTTGGGAAGCTTAGGGAACAAGGGCTGTGGCCCGATAATTTCACCTATCCTTTTGTTTTTAAGGCCGTTGGAAGCTTGGGAGACGTTCTCCGAGGTCAGAAAATTCATGGGTTGGTAGCAAAATCCGGGCTTGAATTTGATGCTTTTGTCATTAATTCACTTATAGATATGTATGTTCAAGTGGGTTGGATTCATTGTTCGAAGAAGTTGTTCGATGAAATGCCTCAAAGAGATGTGATTGCCTGGAATGTGTTGATTTCTGGTTTGGTCAAGTCTGGAAAGTTTGAAGATGCTGTGACTGTTTTTGACCTGATGAGAAAAGAGGGTCTGGTTAAGCCTAATGAGTCTACAATTGTTAGTACTCTTTCAGCTTGCACGGCTCTGGGAAGATTGGAACTTGGCATGGAAATTGACCGTTACGCGAGGGAGGAACTTGAACTGACTGCGATAGTGGGTAATGCTTTGTTAGACCTGTATTGTAAGTGTGGTTGTCTAGATATGGCCAGGAAACTTTTTGATGAGATGCCGAGTAAAAATGTTAATTGTTGGACCAGTATGGTGTATGGCTATGTAAATTGTGGTCGGCTGACTGAAGCTAGACAGTTCTTTGAGAGAAGTCCGGTTAGGGATGTAGTTCTTTTGACAGCTATGATGAATGGTTATGTGCAGTTCAACCGTTTTGAAGAGGCAGTTGAATTGTTTCAAGAAATGCAGATTCAAAGGGTTAAACCGGACAAGTTTGTTTTGGTTTCTCTCCTAACTGGATGTGCTAAGTTGGGAGCTCTTGAGCAAGGGAAATGGATTCATGGATACCTTCGTGAAAATAGAATTGTTGTAGACACTGTTGTCGGTACTGCTCTTATAGAAATGTATGCAAAGTGTGGGTGCGTTGAGAGAGCTCTAGAGATATTCTATGGGTTGAGGAAAAGGGATACTGCCTCTTGGACTTCAATTATATCTGGGCTGGCAATTAACGGGGAAACAAGCAAGGCACTTGAGTTATTCTCGGAAATGAAACAAATTGATGAAAAACCTGACGATATCACCTTTGTAGCTGTTTTAAGTGCTTGTAATCATGGAGGATTGATTGAAGAAGGTCGTAAGGTTTTTGATTCCATGTCAAAAGTGTACCAGATTGAACCAAAGTTGGAACACTATGCGTGTCTGATTGACCTACTCTGTCGAGCTGGACTATTAGATGAAGTTGAGAAGTTGATAGATGATTTACCAAGCAAAGAAAATGAAACCATGGTGCCACTTTATGGTTCCTTGCTTAGTGCTTGCAGGACCTATGGAAATGTTGAGATGGGAGAACGGATAGCTCAACGGCTTGTAGGAATTGAAACAAGTGATTCCAGTATTCATACGCTTCTTGCCAGCATCTATGCATCTGCTGATAGATGGGAAGATGTAAAAAGGATTAGAGAAAAAATGAAAGATCTTGGAGTCAGAAAGGTGCCTGGTTGTAGCTCAATAAAGTCAATGGTGCAGTAACTTGATAATAGATCAGTCTCTTGAACATATACTGCCCAATAGGGGAATACATTGGCATTTTTGGTATATTCTAAAGTTGTTTAATGATATTTTTTGTTTAGTTAGGGAAAAAGCACAAACGAATTCTTAGAACAGTTACTGAACAAGCTTCACCATTTCTGTCAGAGTGACGATGGAGAGAAAAAAATGTTCAGCACACTTAAATTTGTTCCAATAGGAGTCTGTGGAGGCATCCGAATCATTCATCAACTCCCTATGGAACAAGTTTATGATCGTCATCTTCTGCATGCAACACTGTTCGAATTGCTAAGAATATCCTTATCCCCTGTGTTTGAAAATTTTGTTGTCAGATTTCCTCCCTCTGATTGAGTTCTTTTAGATGGAAAACTGGGTTGTCCAGCATGTGTTTGAAGAAATAAAATAATCAAATTTGTTTTTAGATTTCCTTAATTGTTTAAACCTGAGATACTGTAATGTTTAAGTTGAAGCTATCTATCCACTGTCATTCAGCCATGGTTGCATGGATATAAAAACCTTGGCTTAATAAGCTGAAGCATGTTTTCATGTCGACAACAGCTTGGCATGGGCCCTTAAGAATATTATCACCATGTTTAAAGACAAAAGAGAGAACAAATCCATGTGAATTCCAGTTGGTAACCATGTGACCAAACTGTCATCCCGTTTGCTACTGTGCGGATCATTTTGCTTTGTCTTAATCCATATATGGAAGGAGTAAACTAGAGAAAATAGCGCCCATCTAAATTAAATTTTAAGTTCTTGACTTGAGTCTATCTCCGATTTTTTTCCATAATTAAAATATTAAAAATCACAATTCAAATATGTTATTTCTTACTACCTTTTCTTCTAGAAGATGTGATCTGTTCTGTGCATATCAAAGGAAAGTGGAACGTGCCAGCCCAGAAAAAGAAGAGATTTTGAATTCTATTTTTCTTCTTATTTGGACCACGTAATTATTATTTTTAAAATATTCACAATTGATTTTCACACACAAATCAACAAATGTGTTTGAAAGGAAGCCGTAAACAAACGCAAACAAGTTGACTGAAACTTCCAGCCGCCCAGATGCTTTAAACGACAACGTTTATATTCCCTTTGGGCCGTGATCCCCGAGAGAGATTCCAGAGACGGCGCTGCCTCTTCAAGAAAACGCGTTTCAGTTACGGCACTCTCTATTTGTTTGCCTTTGTTCATCATTTTCTCATTTCTTGTCACGTTCCTTTCATTTCTTCTCTCCTCGTATTTATAGTCTTCTTCTCTTTGTACTCTGGCCGTCCTCTAATAGATTCAACTCACCGTCGGTGGCTTGCGGAGATCTAGGTCAGTTTTTTTTTTTAAAAATCTGGAGTCTTGTTCTTTTTGTAATTCCATCAATAGTTGCTTGTGAATTGCGATCAGGGTTTACTTTTAGTGTTATTTTCTTTTGCCGATTGATCTCAATTATTGAAAAAATTGTGTTGTTTATGCAAATGCTGATCTGGGTTTGCAAATCCCAGTTAGATTTTATGTGAACCATCTCTATGAAAAAGATGTGTAATTTATCATTTTGAATTTAGGATTTAGCTATTTAAGGACTATATAGCATTGAAGCTAATCTCTTGAAAGGTACAGAATCAATTCTAGACTAGGAACACTCCCTGTGAAAACTTATTGTTAACTTGACCCTTGGAACACTCCCTGCTTTTATCTTTTGCCGGCTTCGCCCCTCGGTTTTATGTTGTCTTTAATTTCTGATTCCTTTTTCTGCACTTGATCTAACAAATTGAATTCAATTGTTCGCAGGGAAAACATGGCCGACTCGAAACCAGACCAACCTTTGATCCCACCATCATCCAGGAACCTACCTGATTTTAAGAAATCAGTTAAGCTAAAGTATGTGAAGCTTGGATACCATTATCTAATCACCCATGGAATGTACCTTTTCCTTACCCCTCTTGTAGTTATAATCGCGGCTCAGCTCTCAACATTTTCTGTCCAGGATCTTTATGATCTTTGGGAGCATCTTCAATTCAACCTCATTTCTGTCATCATATGCTCGTCACTTCTTGTTTTCTTGTCGACCCTCTACTTTCTGACCCGCCCTCGCCCTGTTTATCTCGTCAACTTTGCTTGCTACAAACCGGAGGAATCTCGGAAATGCACAAAAAGGATGTTCGTAGATCAGTCACAAATGACTGGTACATTCACAGATGATAATCTTCAGTTTCAGCGTAGGATCCTTGAAAGGTCAGGGCTTGGGGATTCAACATATCTTCCAGAGGCTGTCCTCAATGTTCCCCCTAACCCATCAATGCATGAGGCAAGAAAAGAAGCAGAGGCTGTTATGTTTGGTGCTATTGACGAGCTTTTGGCCAAGACGTCCGTAAAACCCAAAGACATTGGAATTTTGATTGTTAACTGCAGCTTGTTTAATCCAACACCATCGTTGTCTGCCATGGTTATCAACCATTACAGGCTTCGAGGGAATGTTCAAAGCTACAATTTGGGAGGAATGGGCTGTAGTGCAGGTTTGATCTCAATAGATCTTGCAAAACATCTTCTTCAAGTCCACCCCAACTCCTATGCACTGGTTATCAGCATGGAGAACATCACCTTGAACTGGTACTTTGGAAATGACCGCTCGAAACTTGTATCAAACTGCTTATTCAGAATGGGAGGGGCTGCGATACTTCTCTCTAACAAATGGTCAGACAAAAGAAGGTCCAAATACCAATTGGTTCACACTGTTCGCACTCACAAGGGTGCAGATGATAAGTGCTTTTCCTGTGTTACCCAGGAAGAAGATTCTGTAGGCAAGATTGGTGTTACATTGTCAAAGGATCTCATGGCAGTTGCTGGTGATGCTTTAAAGACCAACATTACCACATTGGGGCCTTTGGTTCTTCCAATGTCTGAGCAGCTGCTTTTCTTTGCTACATTGGTTGGCAAGAAGCTTTTGAAGATGAAGATCAACCCATACATCCCAGATTTCAAGCTAGCTTTTGAGCATTTCTGCATTCATGCTGGAGGAAGAGCTGTTTTGGATGAGCTGGAGAAGAATTTGCAGCTGTCTGAAAGGCACATGGAACCATCAAGGATGACTCTTTACCGATTTGGGAACACCTCAAGTAGTTCTCTTTGGTACGAATTGGCTTATTCGGAAGCTAAGGGTAGGATTAGGAGGGGTGACAGGACATGGCAAATAGCATTTGGTTCAGGATTCAAGTGTAACAGTGCGGTGTGGAAAGCTTTGAGGACGATAAATCCGGCAAAGGAGAAGAACCCATGGATGGATGAGATCCATAATTTCCCAGTTGATGTTCCAAGCGTCTCGACCATCTAAATTCCAGGACTTGCTGCAATTGTGGTGTTATTTTCATGTTATCTTGTCTCACTTTTGATTCGTCCCAACTTTTGCATTTAGTTATCTAGTTTCCGAGTTATTAATGGGAGTAGCTCGAGTGGGGTTTTTATTATTGTTGTAACAAAGCATTGATTCGAGGGTGTTATGGGAACATTAGACCATTCTTTTACTGGGATTATTTCATGAGAGGCTTGGCTATCTTCAAAGATCTCATCATTTGACTAGAGATTTGGACTGGGATTTGCAATTTGTAGCTTCATGTAACTTATGGATGGCATTGTTGACTGAAGCTCCTGATCTCATAAATATGCTAGTAGTAACAATGTTAGGAATGTAGCTATTCGTTTTAATCAGTTGAACCCAAGATAGCTTAGAGGTGGCTTTTAGAACAAATTAGTCCACCTGCAAGGAATCATTGAATGATTTAGTGGGGTAGTGAACGTTGCAAGTTGATTTAATGCGGAAAATAATTAAGGATTTCCTGATATTGTACACTTAGAACAATGACCAAACCCATGGTCATGGTAATTTTTGGTACCATTTTGAACGTTGATCATTTTAGGAACAAAGAACTATTCACTGTTCTCTTATGTTGTTGGCTAAATGTGGGAATTTAACCACTGCTTTCTTATGTAGGTTAAACAATCTTATGGTTTTAAGTGATTTGTGGATAGGAGGCAACTGTTCCCTTACTAAGGGTATCAAGTTCCTCGTCAGTCACCTTAAGATCCTTGCATTTCCAGCCAACCCCAACACCTTTGTCTAGGGGTAATACGTTTTACCATAGGATCCTGCTTGCATTTACAGCCCAAAAATAGAAAAAGATAAGAACAAGGGCTACTAAAAGGCCAAAACAAAAGGGAAGAAGCTCCACCTCGAGATGGGTTCTCTTGACCATCTTCGTCAACGACAATATTAAGAAATAAGAGAACTTATTTGATGCATCCTATATGAATTAATCTACTTCATAAGATCTTCCCAAACCGATATGCAAGATTGAATCCGGAAAAGAAATTAAAGCTCAAGCAGAACATGAATAACATTAACCGGATTAATTAAAGCGCACCATGATATTATAGATGCCATTATTATATCTTTTATAGAACCATTGGTCTTAGTCCTGCATATGTTAAATGCAAGAAGACTAAATAATACAAATTACAGTTTGCTCTAGTCTCTATCTCTAATAAGAAAAACTATCTTCAATATATTGGATAAATGCGGTTATGCATTGACTGTAAAAACAAAACAGGAAATCATCACCCTTGTTACTCCTTCCCTGTTTCTTTCTCTTTGGTCTTGCCCTCTTCTGCAATATGGAAGCCCTCAAATCTTGCGCGAAACGTCTTCTGCAGTTACCTTCACCTTTCCAACTGACCCATTTGCAGCAAATGGCTCAGTCTCATCATGAGTCGAAGGGTCCGTCATCCATATTCTAATCGTTCCATCCTCAGATCCTGAGGCATATGATTCCCCTCCTGGTGAGAATCGCACACATTGTACAGGACCATGGTGACCCTTGTTGCATGCTGCACATCAGATGTATTAATCGTTATGGAAAAATGACAGAAATCAAAACACTAGATCACATGTGAAATGTGAATTCAAGCGCCAAATCTACAAAAAATTATAAAGTATGGTCCAAAGTTATGTTTTCGAGAACAATACCTATTTCATCTCCAGTGTGGAAATCAAAAACACGAACCCACATATCTTCTCCTCCGGCAACAAACTTATTTCCATATTTCGGTTCCAATGAAGCTGATTCAACTGTGCATGGCATATCGTAGCTCTTTACCAACCCATAGCTGAGTAAACACAATAGCACTAAGCAATAAAACAAGAAATTCCAGCACAAAAGTTCAATCTGGCTCAAAAATCAGAACTAACTGGTTTGCATCCCAGAACTTAACAGTACATCCGTCAGCAGTTGATACATTGACCATCTTGACTCACTTCCGCACTGGTTAAAAATGACTTGGTCTCCAGGATTTGAACTATTTTACCACTCCTTACATCCCATAATCTGTACAATCACTAAGAAAATCAGTAATAGGAAACAGATACAGAAATGCTATAGAAAACCAAGACAAGTATTAGACTGGGTTAATAACAAGCATTTTAGGAAAACTTTAAATAGATATTATAAACAATTTAACAAAAATATTTTAAATCAGGTATAAAGTTACCAAATCAGCAACAAAGCAAGCATTACAAAACTTAAACCCCTTCCCCACTGACATTAATGCATCCTGGATTTTGATCACAAAACCTCCAAACATGGAAGGAAAGGATACCTGACACCCCCCATATCAGTGCAAGAACTTAATATTGTCTGATCGCTATGCATCCAAGTAACGGTTCTGACTGAACCAGGAGATTTGTCCACTTCTGTTGGAGGCGCATCTGGACGATTCAAATCATAAATACGGAGGATTTTCTCTACTCCCCCGGTCAATAGAAGGTGTGTATCCTTCAGTAAGATCAGAAAACCTTGAATGAGATGTAAAAGTAATAAACAAAATGTAAAATAAACAGATCAGTAAAACTGAACTTAGCGTACAAAAATGCCAACAATTCCATGGCGGTTTCTGGTAAGCGGTGGTCACATCAAAATCCATGGTGGTTGGACCATGTTTGGTACAACCTCAAACATCCTACGTGTCAGTGATCTTTAGATCAACGAGAGTGATTAGATCATTACCTTAAATGACTATCTGATTAGACCAACCAAAAGGGAAGGAAACTTTTATCGCCGATATGATGTGATATGTAAAGTTAACTAAACTCTACCCTTTTAATGTGTATAATTACTTTTTTATTATAATTTTAGTAGATTCAGTTTAATTTTGTAATTCTTTTACATATTTACATTATTAAAGTTAGATTACCTATCAATAAATACATTTGTTAATTTAACAATATAGATATGCCTCATTATTAAGGAAATCAACTATGTTAATATTTTACAAATTGAAATATTTATGCAACATTGAAATTATTTGGAATAGTTTTTATTTCCAATTCTTAATAATTAAAGGTACAAAAAGTAAATGCAAACCATGATTGATAAAGATCTTATTGATGATTAGAATAACACAGTGACTTGAAAACGATACCAAATGCTTCCATATAAAATTTTACTATTGCTACTTGGTGATAACATGAAAATGCACTAATTAGCTACCTCTGTGGTGGGTACAAGGTTAAAGAAATAATTCAAAAACATGTTGTGGTAGCCAACATCTTGTAATAAATTCCTCATTAGAAAACAAACGAATAATATATATACTATAATAGTTGTGAAACCATCTGTTACAAGTTGACCAGACAATCAAAAGTCAAACATGCGAAAGATTTCTTTCTCAAGACAAACTATGAAAATAAAGATCAAGAGCAGCACTAAGAACTAAAATTTTGCAATGCTGGCTTTGATTTAGAAATAGGATTTTCTATTCCAAAAAATTAAATTGGGTCTGCTAGAAGAAATGGAAAATACTGTTCACACGCTAATAATGAGAGCCAAAGTAACCTCAAAAGCTGTTCAACAACCTAGATATTGTCATACAGACACCCTTTTATCAAAACTAGATGATTCCTAAACCAAGCTGTTACACATTTCAAACACCGTATCTTATTTTTATTTTTCCCACCATACCTATGCTTCCATAATTCCACCAAGTTTAAAGCTTAAACGGAATACGAACCGACTTTACCTCTGAAAAAGCACAGGCTCGAACTATATGCCTGTGCTCAAATGAGTGCAAAACATCACCGGTTAGTGCATCCCACACTTTCCTGTATGTAAAGACAATTTCACAGGATAAGTTAACCTTTTATCAATAAGTGCAAATATATGAAGAATTTTGCACAAGCCTCTAGAGGTGTTCGAAGACATTTAGTACTAAACACAAAATCTGCATACATAACAAAGAAACCGACTAAAAACAACTAAACAACTTTCAGATTATAACAACAACAATATTGTGACAGAAGACAATCAAGAATGAAATAACATACGCGGAAACGTCAGCAGAAGCAGAAGCAGCACGCAAAGCGTTTGTATCTAAGCAAACACTCCACACTGCACCCTTGTGTCCTTCAAAGGTTCCTATCTAATCTCCAGTTTCTCCATTCCTCAGCATGGGACTGGAATCTAAACCAGACAATTAAAACCCCAATTATATAAATTTAAGATCAATATCAAATTATACTTCCAAATAAGTGTATATCACTACTAGTTCTATGGGGAAAATCCGGTCTCAGCATTGATAATGTATACCCACCATTTACATACGTATATAAAAACTTTTAAATGAAAACTTATCAATGAAATATAACCATAAGTAAGCCTAAAAATAGATGAGAACACGCAATTTTAAGATAGCCGATTATAGTATAAAAATCACAACTTCGACCAAATAAATAGCAATTACCCTTGCTAGCACTGATGAGAAAAAACATCTGGAGTGACAGGACTGTAAAAGAGATCCACCACGGGACGTGAATGGCCATGGCATACAAGTGGGACAGCAACCTTTTTTTAATCGAATTTCTCCTCGTTACCCAAAAATCAAACACAGATATAAGAAGGAAAAAAACAAATTCTTGCTTAATCTCTAACGAATCTACACAAACCAAAAGAATAAAAAACAAACTCGAACTTATTTTTTCCTGGGTACTTTTCTGAATCAGAATATACAGGGGAAAGTTACTTGTACTAAAAAAAAAAAGGAATGGTGGTAGTTTAATACAGGTCGAAAAGACGCTATGATTAGTGAGATTTGGGAAACGATCGCGTTAGTCCACACCTCCTAACCCTGAGCCCTGGGCAAGATGATACTGATGATGCAATAAAAATTGGGGCACAGAGCAATGAAAACCAAACTGGGGCTAGGCGCAATGAAACTCTTGCCAATTGATCATTTATAGGGAAAGGCTCTTTACACTTCACTTTTTCTTAACAAAAAGTAATTAGCTTATGCTACAAATTGATGCCTTAACTCGGTAACTTTTCTCAATTTAGTCCTTATTTTTTATTTTAATTTGATATTTGAATTTAAAAAGAATTTTCAAAATAATATCTCAATCTAAAAAAAAATTTTTTTCAGTGCTGGAATGGTATTTTAAAATTAATCAGATTGTTGCACATAAAATCTAATCATCATTTTGATAGATCAAAATCGCATGAATAATTTAATTAATTGTTAAAATATTTAATTAACATGAATAACGATTTTAAATTTTTAAATTTAAATATTAATTTAAAAAATTAAATATTATTTTTTAAATTATAAATTTAAATACCCTAATAAAATTTGTTACACTTTTCAATCCAATAAAAAAAATGGTTTTTTGCGTCATATTACCTATAACAATAAAGGCCCAGCTAATCTATCCACCACCGCCATAAAGGCAGTGAATTTCAACGAACACTGAGGGAGACCTTCTATATATATAAACCAAAAGATCCATTTCTGTTCGTAATTGAGAATCAAACATTTTGTCAAAGACAACCCCTTTCTTTCTTCAAAATCCGCGGGATTGTAGTAGAGTACAAAAGCTAGAATTAAAAATACTCGATGGCGACGGTGGATGTCGAGAGGAAGCAAACGGCGTCGGCGGAAGAGATGTGCACCGCCAAGAGCGGCGCCAAGCAAGGGGAAGGCCTACGGCAATACTATATTCAACACATCCACGAGCTCCAGCTCAATCTCCGTCAAAAAACACACAATCTCAACCGACTAGAAGCCCAACGCAACGAGCTCAATTCTCGAGGTCCTCTAACCATAAATCTATTTTTGTTTATCTCCGTTTATTGTCTTAATTTCGTTTGATTATGGGTGAATTGCGATTGTCGATTTGGGATTAGTTGTTTTTTCCCCTTTTAGGATAAATTGTTTCCATTGTGTTTTGATCTGTGAGAAAATAGTGACATTTGAATAAAGGTTAGTAAGATAAGAGGAAGATTTTTGTTTCATGATTCCTAGAGTTTAAGGCGGTGCATACATCTGCTAGTTACTTAGGGAATTGGTTTCTGTTAGTTGATTAAAAACTGTGAAACAAAGGATTCTATTGAGCTGGTTTATTTGACTTTTTTCTAGATCTGACAATTTTTTAGTTGCTGCAATGGGGATAAATTGTGAACTTCTTATATTTTCTAATTCAACACCATCTGGAAAAGTCTTAAATGAAGTGAATAGAAGATTATGCAAATAATTGATTGAGTTTCAAAGGCCACAATTTTTTTAGGATGAAAATATAGCTGGAACTGCTCATTTAATGGTCAATAATCTGCATTCGTAAATCCATGTTCCTTTTTCTGTACGATTGGAAACTGCACATGGTTGGGAATGGGATGCTCTTATCGGTAATTGCTGGTGCTGGGTAATAACCTTATCTTCTTATTGCCCATTTACGCCATTGTTTACCAGTTTAGAATCGTTCTGATTGAAAGAGGATGGGTTTGTTCAAACATAATTGCGTTTATAGTTTGATAGTGCATTGGCTACTTCTGACAATACCATGCCAATGGTTAGGGAACAAGTCTTCTGTTTTTTACCAGGGAAAGAGGATGCTTTTTAACAGAATGTTTTATTCATTCTGGTACATTTTTCTTGCATAATTACTTACTATATTAGTATATTTTTCATATTGGTCAGTGAGAATGCTTAGAGAGGAACTGCAGCTTCTTCAGGAGCCTGGATCCTATGTTGGTGAGGTTGTGAAAGTTATGGGTAAAAACAAGGTCTTAGTCAAGGTATGTGATTCTTCATGATTCTCTCTGTCATTAAAATGGGAATAACATCTTGTTGCTAACTAGCTACTTGGTATTAACATAATTTAAAATCTGTAATTGTTTTCTTTTTCTTTAATTTGTCATGTCATTTCTGGATTTGTGTTTCTGTCTTACACTGCTAACTCTTTTATTATTTCTTTTCTAGGTTCATCCAGAAGGAAAATATGTTGTTGATATTGATAAGAATATTGATATCACAAAAATCATGCCATCCACTAGAGTTGCTCTTCGTAATGACAGCTATGTTCTACATCTGGTCTTACCAAGCAAAGTAGATCCCTTGGTTAATCTTATGAAAGTTGAAAAAGTACCAGATTCTACATATGACATGATTGGTGGTCTTGACCAACAGATTAAAGAGATAAAAGAGGTTTGCACTTCCTTAATTTGTTCATTTATGGCTTACCATCTTTCTTGTTTTCCCTTCATCTCTTATGGCTCCATTATTAACCCCACGTTCAGTTCTTAAATGATTCAATTCTTCCCACCTGCTATGTGGTAAAATTTGCAGGTTATAGAACTTCCAATCAAACATCCTGAACTGTTTGAAAGTCTTGGAATAGCTCAGCCAAAGGTACTATCATACTTCCAAATTATAAAATTTTGTCAATTTGTTTCCCATGTGGTTTCATTTTGAGACTAAAACTTGCTCTTTCAAAAAATTATAGGGTGTCCTGCTGTATGGACCGCCTGGTACAGGAAAAACTCTACTTGCTAGAGCTGTGGCCCATCATACTGAATGTACTTTTATCAGGGTTTCTGGTTCTGAATTAGTTCAGAAATACATTGGAGAGGGATCTCGAATGGTTAGAGAACTTTTTGTTATGGCCAGGTTTGCTCTTCTTCTTCCTTGTTATCCTTGAACAAATAAAACCCTTTTTAAATATCACCGATATATAAGTTCTGGTTTCTAATCCCTTTTAATTCAAGTTTGAGGAAGACAGGGAACTTTTGTGAATGTGGTTAGTTTCTAATCTCTTTTTAAATATCACCTATTTATTAATTTTGGTTTCTAATCCCGTTTAATTTGAGTTCGAGGAAGATAGGGAACTTTTGTGGATGTGGTTGGTTTCTTTTCATCTGTAATTACTCATTAGCCAATAGCCATTTCTCATGTAGCCTGGAACACAAAGTAGAACTGCCTCTATCTAATTATCTACCACACTGTTCTGCTTTTGCTTTATATTTGTTTTTGTATTTAAAGTAATTCCTTCTTGTCTTTCTTCTTTTCCCTTTTTGTATTTAGTGTAGTTCCTTCTTGTCTTTCTTCTTTTCCCTTCTCCAGAGAGCATGCTCCATCGATCATATTTATGGATGAGATAGACAGCATTGGGTCTGCTCGGATGGAATCTGGAAGTGGCAATGGTGACAGCGAGGTGCAGAGGACGATGTTGGAGCTTCTCAACCAGCTTGATGGATTTGAAGCATCTAACAAGATAAAGGTATTAATTACTTGACAGAAATAAAGAGTTATTGAATTAGAAAGATCAGCTTGTAGTTTGCTTACATTATTATTTTGTTTCCTTGTTTTGATGCACTGAATAATAGGTTCTTATGGCCACAAATCGGATTGATATCTTGGATCAAGCTCTTCTTAGGCCAGGACGAATTGACAGGAAGATTGAATTTCCAAATCCTAATGAGGAGGTACATGTGATTTAATACCATCGTTGTTATGTTCCTGCATGCAATTTAGTAATGTTATCTATCATTTTCATTTTAGGGCTATACAAAGACACTCCTCCATTGCCACTTTGTTCTTATAAAACGTTTCATTACGCTAACTGTTATTTTAATGCGCTGCCAATATACAATAGAAACTTCTTCTGTCATTTTGGACTACATTCAAAAGCCAAAACTTTTCAGGTTCTTACTTTTTATCAACCCGTTTTGGTACTATGGAGAACCTGGCAATTTGTACCAAAATTCTCTAATTTGTGCAGGAGCTTGTAATGCCCCTTTAGGTACTTATGTTGTCTGTTCAATTATATGCAGTCTCGCTTCGACATCTTAAAAATACATTCTAGAAGAATGAATTTGATGAGAGGGATTGATCTAAAGAAGATTGCAGAGAAGATGAACGGCGCTTCTGGTGCAGAGCTTAAGGTATGTTAGCAGATGCCCGGTTAATTAAATTGAATGTTGGTCTTTGGGTAAGAAATATCTTTCTTCCAATTGGAATATGGTTGGCAAGCCGCAAATAACATATTTTCTTTTAGATCCCCAACTTCCTTCCCTTCCCCCGACCTCATAAGCATCAGAGGGAGAGTTGATTTATTTGAAATGTTTCCTGTTTTCTGCATTCTAGGAAAATAGTTCTTCCCCATTAATAATTTATGCTAGAAGCAAGAACCTTCATCCCAGTTTTTGATATCTTGTTATGTATGCTATGAGGTTATTCCGACTGTTGCAACTTACAAGTTTTTTGAAAATGTTTTCGGTACATTATTTGGATAACCAAAATCGCTACTTTAGCAAGACCATAGGCTTCTGATTATATAACACAAATTGGCAACTATCTGTCGGTGTTTGTGCTAGTTTGACAAAACTCTGTTCCTTATCTTGCAGGCTGTATGTACAGAATCAGGGATGTTTGCTTTGAGGGAAAGGAGAGTCCATGTAACACAAGAAGATTTCGAGATGGCAGTGGCAAAGGTGATGAAGAAGGAGAGCGAGAAAAACATGTCCTTACGGAAGTTATGGAAGTGATTATGTTTTATTTATCGTGCTTTCGCGTATAAGATATTAGCACAACAGGCATTTTGCTGGCTAAACACATATGCTTTTCTAGGCACGGCCGTTTATCGAATTTGCTTAAAGTAGAGGACTTAAAATTTATGAACAATATTTCCAAGTTACATAATGCATGAAGCGGTGAACAGTGGTTATTTTAACTTTTAACTAATATTGCTTCTTGATATCATTGGATTCATGAGGATAGTTTGTATAACTTTACAAGCAGGTAACAATGATTGAGTCAATGGTTTAAACCCACCCACCAACATTATTAAATTCTCAAGGCAACCGCAGTTATTGCTATGATAATTAATAGCATGCATGACTAAACGTATTAAAGTCAAAAATCAAAACTTTTTGTTATTAGATATGATGGGTTAATAATAAATAATATTTAAAGTCTGACCAGTTATCTCTCCTTCTTACTGGCACGTAAGTCACACCTCATCCTTCACATGATGATTAGGTGTCCCCCCCCCCCCCAAGTGTATTCGATGATTAATTGCGGCGTTTCAGCTATAAGTAAAGACCCTCTACTAAATATCCAGCCTTTATTGTCGTTCCGCGTGAGGAGTAAGCTATGGTTATCTCTGAGTAACTTGGATTCGATTTCTCAATAGAAAATTCGTAGTTTATCAAGTTAGACTTAAAAGGGGATTTTTTTTTCTTTTGGTCATAAGGCGGAAAAGTATTACTATAATATACACATTCTTCGTTGGCACTACCAGCAGGAAATAACATACTATTTTGCAAAGATGCAGAGCCACCAATGGCCGGTGTTTCAACTTGTATCATACCTGTTTGTTCTTTCCCAGCTTTTCCGTTTCTCCCATGCCGATGTTGGCACTGCTGCCCAATACACCCCACCATATCTACGTGAGTAATAATTATGTTTACATCCACAGCAGTGTCTTTAAGCTTTGAAAAGTCTACTTGATATATATCACGTGATATATGTGCAGCGACAGCGTGTTATGGTGATGACCAAACGCAGTTTCCATCCAGTAATTTGTTCGCAGCAGCTGGAGATGGGATATGGGACAATGGAGCATTGTGTGGGAGACAATACCTGGTACGATGCATCAGTGTGTCGCAGCCCGGGACTTGTGCTCCCGACCAGACGATCCAAGTCAAGATTGTCGATTATGCTCCTACTGCACAGTCTCAGCCTTCAAGTCAGTCAACCACCATTGTCCTGTCCGAGACGGCTTTTGGTGGGATTACCAACATACCTATCGACTCCATCAACATAGAATTCCAACAGTAATCTCTTCATCTTACTCATTAATAATTACTCCCGTTTTCCCCATAATTCGAAGGTTTGAGTTCTTTGCTTCTCCATTTGCAGGGTTTGAGGATATGGAAGGGTAGTATGGCTCCCTGCGTTCAAGGTAGTTGAAGGAAGAAAAGAAACCTATATATTGTCTGTTATAATCTGCAAATGCACACTGTATCTTCGTTTCAAGAATGTTTAAACAAGGATGTGATCCGTTGTTTGAGAAGGAAATTAATGTTTGTTAGTAGCCAAATAATCAACGTACGATATGATTGATATTTACTTTTGTTGAAGGACGTCGACTCCTAATACGTTCTGTACTGTATTTTCGGATGTATGTGCACCTTTAATCTCGAGATTTTGTTTTTTTTATTATTCAGCGGCAGTTTGAGGAACTACAAGTTCATGATATTTTATTAAATTAATTCTTAATATCACACTCATAATATATTTATATTGTTAAGTATAATTAAAATGTATTAACTATTTTGATAATAAAAATTTACAACAATATAAACTTTTAATCGTAACTAAAATTTGAATGAAAATAATAATGGAAACCATTTTTAAAAAATTAACTGGTAATTAAGTATAGTAATATAATAAAAGGAATGATACTTTTTTTTCAAAATGTATGCTTGAATATTTTATAGATTAGGAATTGTTTATAAGTTTTTTCTTTCATGGGGAATTGTTTTTTTTTCTTTTTTCTTTTTTTTCCCTTAAGGAACACTTCAATTAGGTAAAATTTGTTGAGATCTACTGGAAATGAATTTTGCATGGGCCACTCTATTTCCGTTTATTGAGATCTACTGGAAATGAGTTTTGCATGGGCCATTGCGCAGGTCTGCGATTGCTCTAACAAGGGAGAGTGGTTTTCTGGTGAGGTCATTTTCCATCGTCATTTATCATTTGACAGTGAATACTCAAATACCTCTACAGATTTTGTACTGAAATCAAAGATTTCTAGGGTTAAACTGTCGTCGCAGTGTAATGTAACAAAGTTCTAGTTATGCCCACCAAGCAATCCATATCATACCAACCGAGAGTGGGGCAAATTCAGCTGGTCTTACCCATTGCCAGCATGGTGGGGTGGGCTCAAAACGACACTGTTCTAATTTTCAGAGGCTCATTACTCCCCCCCCCCCTTTTTCAAATTGGGTTAAGTTCTAGCTACTAACGGCAGCAGGAGCTGTGCAAATTACTATCGATTGGTTATCGGATTCTTAAAGATTGGGCCACTATTTACCGAGTGAATGCCAGTCCCTGCTCTTTTCATAAGTCAGCTTCCGTTGCTATTATTCTGGGGGGGGGGGGTAATGGGTTCTCTCTGCTATCACACTGTTGCCTTTCTCTCTTTCTTTTGGTGAAATGGCTATTCTTTCCTTTTTCTTTTATCATAACTCTTCACTGTTTTTCTTCTTTGGCTAGCAGACTTGCAGTAGAGCTTCTTATGAGAAAATGAGATGAGGTGATTATCCAAATTAAGTGGAAACAAAACATAAGCCTTATGATTCTGGTATAGGTGTAGGGTCGAAGAAGCAACACGAGCATATGAATTAGATTTTGCATGCTACCAAGAAAAGGACTTGACGTATTTATGCATGTCTAGTTTTATGCATGTATGCAGACATGTTTTCAAATTCGGTATTGCTAATTCGTAATCATAAACAATACCTAAGCGCATACATTTCATTTATTCCTAATTGGTCTTGAAAGTAAAAAAAAAAAGCTAAGTATGGTGTCTGAATTAATGTAAGCTTGGAACAGGACATGACATGTTGTGCAAGTGCAATGGGACAATGTTGCTTCAACATAAACGGGGGCAAGACATCAATATATGGGATAGGATTAGGAAACAACTGTCCTTGTCTATGAGAAATTAACCCCTCCAAAAACCCTGAATTTATTGCTAGCTTAATTTGACATTAACTTTCACCACATGCGTCAAAATGGTAAAATTCAGATCATCTCATAAAATGCCAACAATGCAACCAGTGGCAATGCATTAAATCCCCTAGGGATCTGGTGCATCCATTATTTTGGATAAATTATTAAATTTAATCCAATATATTTGGGGAAGGAAAAAAAAAAGAAAATTTACATATTAATTTTATTGAGAAAAAAATAGTATTAAAGTTTTAGATCTCACTTTTAAAAGTACGGATTGTTATTTAATCTGATAATAGATTTGATATCAACATACTTCTGCACCACTGCAATCCATAATCATTACAGAATGAACTTTCAAATTTTCAAATAGATATCATAATTGAAGAATTAATAAAAGAGAAAATCGCCTCAGTGACCAAAAAAAAGTTATAATATACGATTTTAACCAACTTTTTTTGGATTTGCCAAAATGACCAACAAAATCGCAACGCGAAATAAAAATCGCAACGCGATCCCAGAATCGCAAATAAGTTTCCAGAATCGCAAATCAGTTTCCAAAATCGCAACGCGATTCTTGAAAATCGCGATGCGATAGTACAAATTCGCATTGCGATTTTCCAAAATCGCAACGCGAATATGAAAATCGCAACGCGAACACATAAATCGCAACGCGTATCCGTAAATCGCAACGTGTATCCGTAAATCGCAACGCGTATGGGTAAATCGCAATGCGTATCCGTATATCGCAACGCGTATCCGTAAATCGCAACGATAATACATAAAATCGCAACGCGTATCCGTAAATCGCAACGCGATATTTAAAGCGCCATTATAATCGCTACGCGTATTTTATTTTCAAATTACAAAAAGAATATTAAGACAAAATCCCGTAATCGCAACTCATAACCTAAAACCTAAAATCACAACTCAGTCCCATCTCCATCTCTCACTCTCTACGGCGAAGAAATCCGTCCCCATCTCCGAAGATTTCCGTCCCCATCTCCGGCGAAATCCCTCACAACCATTCACGGTCAGAAATCCCTCACAATATTCAGAAATGGAAAATCAACCTCCGAGGGTTAGTTTTTTTAATTATTTTTATTTTGAAATGTTTGCATTATTGTAGGTTTTTCATATTGAAACTGATGATAAGTTTACTGGTCATTTCAATAATAGATTAACCATTTCACTTAGATTTCATTTCGCGTTACGATTCTGTCGTTGCGATTTTCATTTCGCGTTGCTATTCTCTCGTTGCGATTTTCAAGTTAGTATTTGTCTTTGTCTTTGTTCTGTCTTTTGGTTGAAGTAATGCAATCCATTCAAGTTTCAATTTGCAGAAGAGTCGCAACGAGATAAATGAAAATCGCAACGAGAGAATGACTGTCGCAACGAGAGAATCGCAACGCGAAATGAAAATCGCAACGAGAGAATCGCAACGCGAAACCAAATCGCATTGCGATTTTCATTTCGCGTTGCGATTCTCTCGTTGCGATTTTCATTTCGCGTTGCGATTCTCTCGTTGCGATTGTCATCTCGCGTTGCGATTCTCTCGTTGCGATTTTCATTTCAACCAAAAGACAAAACAGTGTTGCAAATTTTAGTTTCAAGAATAAACTACTACTTTTTATGTTTATTGTTTTTGGTATATCTTCACAGTGTAGTTTTTGGTATATCTAACTTGGTATGTTTATTGTTTTTGTAGAAATTTTTTTCGGCTCAATTGACCTTGAGAAATAAAGTCAGCCTGGCCACTACAATTGCAAAGAAGCTTTCACCTGCTCAAAGACAATTGTTTGAGGAAACCTGCTTCGGGCCATGGCTGAGAGTACAGCATCCGGGTGGAGATGCTAATTTGACCCATTTGTGGCTTCAGACCATGACATCAAATCTACCCGACAGTATACAACGTGGTGAGGAAGAGATATGGTTTCATTTTCCACCAGCGTATACTTGCTTTGGGCGGAAGGAGTTCTGCTTAATCACTGGTCTACGATTCGGACACGATGATGTAGGCCGGTACACTCGTCATATCGCCCGCCCATCATGGTTATCCCGGGTTTTTCCGGATGAGTCAATGGAGAAGCCGAACCTACATGTCGACGACCTGAAGAAATTATTTAATAAGAAAGCTGGTTTCACTCGGATGGAAGACGTCGATGTTGTCCGAGTATGCCTTCTACTACTTGTGTATGCCGGCTTTTTAGGCAGAGAGGCCAGACAACCTATTCATCGGGAGCTAATAATATTGGTAGAGGACCTGAATGCATGGAATCTGTTTCCGTGGGGTTCGTATATATGGAAAGCTACCTGGACTAAGTTGTCGTCTGCCTTTGATGACCGCAAAAGTTTGCGGGGCGATGGGTCCAAATACACTTTGTCAGGCTTTGTTTGGGCCTTTAAGGTAAGAATTTCTATATAATGTTTCTAAAATTATAATTAATTATTTAACAATTACTAATTTTGTTATTATATTGTTTGTAGATTTGGATATTCGAGGCTTTCCCCAGCATGCGTACATATGCAATAAAAACGTCAAATGATATTCCCAGGGCTATTTCCTGGAAGAGGAAAACTCTGTTGGATTGGGAAGACTTAATACCATATGCCACAATAAATAATGTAAGTTAACACAAATACTTTCATATAATATAAACAAGTTATTAATAGTAGACGTTTAACTTTGTTTGAGTTTTTATATTTTAGGAGGCCAACATTCCATTACAAAGACTGTCACCCACGGAGGAAGAGCTTGCCACTGATTGGTGGCAAGCTAGTCAGAGTTTTTTTGATGGCACGGATGATGAGCAGCATCCACTTCCTCCAATTCGAGAGCCATCACCTCACCTAGAGCCATCACCCGATCGTGACGACTATACACCTCTAGAACGAGAGCCATCACCTATCCCGTCACATCATCGAGCCTCTTCTCCACCATCACCTCATGATAGGCGACCGGCAAAGATGCCACGACTCCTATCTCCCTGTTCTCCACCTCCACCTCAACGGGATGAGTCAAGGGAGTTACGTGATGAGGTCAATGCCTTGCGTGAGGAGATCGGTACTCTACGCGATAACGATGGTGCATGGCGTGTGGAGGTGTCAACTTTACGTGGTGAGGTTGCCGCTCTACGTGAGATGATAGTATCGTTGCAGAATGAGGTTCATACTCTACGCAACGAGGTAAGTTTAAGATTTTCCATATTTAACTTAATGATAAATTTACTCGTAATTTCACTTAGATTAGCCATTTCACTTAGATTGCTTAGT